TTGATCTGAGTTGAACAGTTTGTTTACGGACAAAATAAAATTGTATTTCTTTGTATGTAAACTCCAATGTTGCATTCTTGGATTTAGTTTGTGGATTTAACATTGTAAACATTTATTTCAACAAAAAACATTTTGTTAAACGACAAAACATTAACTGTTTTTCTGATAGTAGCAATACCAAGTGTTCATCATAACATGCGGTATACTCATTGTTCGTGTATACGCCGCCAAAACAGAAGTTACTCTCTTAGCTTTACATTGTCAAACCATTATGATTCGGATCAGCATTATCCAGCTTTACACGTTTTTCAATAGGACATAAAATAAGCTACGCCCATTTTCCCGCCCGCCCACTACATCATCGTCAATAAACGTATTTATCCGCTCATTTTCGTTATTAACGCAGCAAGAACACTTGTCAACATCTGTTAGAGATTTTGATACGAATTAATACTAATACAGACCAAATTCTAGATATTGTCTTTCCTAGTAGTAGCGTTTACTATAACATAAGTAACCTAAACTCTAGCGTATGACTTGACAGAAAAAAAAATTAACAATAGTAAAATTAAAACCAAAGTTGTATGTACCCTTTCGTACATAACTTTTTATTACCATACTGTATAGATATATTTTCCAAATTTTCCCTTTTTTTCAATAATAATATTTAAATGGTATGTATGTTGATAATCAATTTATGTATACCTTGTTTATTTTATCGCTAAGAAAGCCATCACTTTCAAAACTTAATACATATTCTATGTAGTATTTTATGTACATAAAAATATTTATCTGCTTTTGATCAGATAGACAAGGTTACAGCTATTGACAGCATGTACACACAAATTTTAGAGCTGTCATTGATTCAGTACCATGTATAACCTACGTCAGTTTACATATATTTAATAATAAAAGGCTAAACCACTGCCTATGACTCAAATACCTCCCAGTGGAAGTAAACAGAGATGCTAGGATACACTAAATATATATTTCTACATTAAAATTGGACAAATTTACAAGTTTTTGGTTATACAACGGAATTATCGATAATAAACTTTGAATAGTTTCGTGGTTATACATTTGGTAAAAAAATGGGTTTTTCTACAACCCAATACAGTCCTTTAAAGAAAGAAGGCATATGCTTACTGTTCAGTTCTCTTTATAAAAAGTGCGGTTTGCGTCGTTATATATAGGGAACATTCCCTTATGTTAATTCACCAACTTTAGTTTTGCATATTATTATGCTCATTATCACTATAAACGTTGTTACATTGTTACATTATATCATAACCAATTTTGCATTACTTGAATATCCTGTACTGGGATACGTTTTAACAAAATCAGAGGATGTTCAAAGTCAACTGTAATGCAGTTGATGTACATGACTTTGTGAAATTTATAACAGTTTTTTTTATAATTTGAAATATTTTGTTTTGTACCAGCAAGAGTTACTTCTTTTTACATTCTGCTTTCGCGAAAATTGGCTCCGCTTATTAATTTTCGTCTATTTCCGTGATAATTCCATATATGAAATTGCAAAATCGTTTACAAATGTTAATCGCGTTAGAATGTAAAAGGAAAGTGTGGTGTTGTCAACCTGAGAGTGTTAACTGATGCAGTTACATTCTCTGCGTCATGATGCACAGTATTAAACGTGTTGTGTACGTCTAGCGTTCACATTTCTACTTGTCGCAAATTTGAAGTTATACATTTTTAAAAACAGTTTGCAATTTATCTAAGTTGCGCGTTTACAGCTTCCATTTTATTAAATCGAGATAATCAAAATGCTTAATACCAGTGCAGAATGTAACTCTCGGATCGACAATTATATTTTTATTCATCCGTTTAGTAGAGCCGAAGTATGCGTTGTCAAGTTTCAAAGGCTGGATGTTTGGCAACGAATAGCCTCCATACTGAATATCGGCCTTAATGGATACTTTTGTGGATTGGTAAATGTAAACAAACGAGTTAAAAGTTCTAGACACTAAAGACGCTGGATAGACATTAAATATCATTATATTTAAGAGTGTATTTAACATACATACATACATACATATCTTAGTAAATGAATATATAAATACATCAATTAAAGTGAAAAGAAACCTGTGTTGACACAATTGTTCCAAACATCTCCTAAAAACAACTTTTCACTATATGTGAAGATATAAAATTTGTTTCTCACTTCTACAACGAATAATGTCTAACCAGCCGTCGAAAATCTTTAGATGAAGAACAATGTGGATTTAGTCAGTCCTGGATGTTTTTTAAAACACATAATATGGAAAAAAATGTTTGGTAATATAAAATATCTTATTGCTGTACTAAACGGTTTACTGAACGTCTTCACCATTTCGTAAAAAATCTACATCTGCAAATTGTTACAATGAGGGAAAATTATAACAGAAAACAAACAAGCAAAGATTCGTCTCTGTATATATCTGGACTAAAGTTACGCCTTATTTTTGTCTTTTCGTTCCCTTTTAAAATCTAAGTACGCTTCTTAAATGATGTGTCATCCTCTTGTGTTAATTGATAAAAAATATATTGTATTATTATAGGATTATGTTATAGTTAATAAACATTATTTGTTTGTTTCAACTCATAAAAAATATTTGAATATTTTTTTTTGCATTTTTCGACAATTATCTGTTAATAAACATTTCTCGTAACTATTTTATTTATTTTTCTCATCATATTAAATAACAAGACACAGGTGGTTTAGTTTATATTACAATTAAGATTAGCTACGTAATACCATAATATTAAAGATGCTTACATTAAATATTGTGTACTGAAATATAAAACTCAACAAACCTGTAATATTTTCTGAAAATAGGAAGTCATTTTGTTGTACTTCTGTGAATAGGCTTCTTTTTTTTTTCTTTTTTTTTTGCTCAAATGTAAACTTCCTGAAAACCAGGCATACTTTAATGAAAATTTATTGTGTATTTGTATTCATATTGTTGTCAATAAGCTGTTCATAAACACATCTCGACATTATTTCATTATTTTCGTATTAAATAAAAGTTTGTAGAGTTACATTAGAGTTAAAATAAGCTATGTAATATTAAAGATATTTACATGAAACATTGTGCAAGGATCAGTTATCGGATGACTGACCTGAAATATGAAACTCAACTTTTAACATTTTCGGAAACTAGGAAGTCCTGAATACACGTTCTAAAAATAAATGGATAATTGGATGACATTACTGAAATCTGAACTAACTTGTAATATTTTCAGAAACTAAGAAGTCCCGAAGACCTTTTATGATAATATTTTTAATGTGAAACGATGAAACATTCATAATATAAACATAAAAAAATCGAAATGTTTCCATCTCTAGTTTTCTGAAAAGCATTTTAAAAGTGTTACATTCATGTCTTATCTACGGTGGCACAAAGGTGACATGTGTGTGTTTTTATTTATATCGTGCGCATGAGATACTATGTCGTGGCTACGAGTTACTTAGTCGTGGGAACGAGTTACTAAGTCATGGCCAGGAGATAGTTAAGTCGTGGGAACGAGATACTTTGTCGTGGCCACGAGTTACATAGTTGAACGCTAGAGATGCGTTTCTTTATTCATCTGTGATTTTTTTTAAGTGATTAGTACGGAGGCACAAAGGTGACATGTGTGTGTTTTTATTTATCTCAATATATCAATTAAAAAAAAAAAATTCCGTATCACTGCATGAAATGTTAAATTTCTCTCGTCCAGGTTGTTGTTAATGTTATATTTAGATACGTAGATGATCACCATAAGCATGAATAGAAAGGCGTTTTGAGGTTGCTTTATATAAAAGAAAGTCGATACTTCCCCCCCCCCCCCCCTACTCCCATATTTTCGCTGATGATGTATAAACTGAGAAATGACTGAAATAAACATGCAAATGTAACGGAAAACGGTCTTCCAATCTTATCTTCGATAAAGGTATGTTTTAAAACTATCGTTGCAGTTTTGATATTTTCATATTCATAAATTAAGTACCATTTGCAATTAAAATGTTGATTAAATTTCATAGTGTTATATACTGCAGGGTGTATAGAAACCATAAAAAGAAAATACAAACGTGTTGGTATAAAAACGCTGCAGCTGCTTAAAGTAAATAACAATGGAAATGATTACTTCCCTGTCCTGGATTGTGATTTATCGAGAAATTTGCATAATGAAACCCGCAAAGCTTGCATAATTTAAAGCTCGTACTGCCGAATGCATGTCTGCATATAATACTCATGACATACTCATGACATAGCGATTTAAGAATGCATTCACATATATGAGAAAATGTTTTGTTTGGTTATTCCATCCCTGGTATCATTCTGCTGCGTCATTTCAGTCAATTGTCTCTGAATTGCGAGTATTTTAACGACAACTTTTTAACTGTATTTACCAGGCAGCTGTCAATGAAACAGACTTGAAATGCCCTTAACCAATATCCTGCCGAACGTTTAAGGATTTGATACCTTTTAAACTTTTTAATTGATCTGGCCTTTGTTGATGGCCATGAAGTACGCGGGGTAACGGGCTAGCAGTCTATTGGGCTAATAGTGTGAACTGAGCGGGCTAGCAGTCTAGCGGGCGAACATTGTGAACTGGGCGGGCTAGCATTCTAGCGGGATAACAGTTTGTAAGAAATCATTGTTTTTATTCGCTTGCTTTGGTTTTACGCCTATTTGTGTTTGATATTGGTCTTTTCTCCATTTAACCGGTCCTTCTGAATAACATATCAGTAATAATTGATTACTTCACAAGTTTTTGATTATCAATTATAATTAAAAATATATACAAATAGTCTATACAACAACAACAAAAATACGTGGAATCTAAATCAGCAGTGATCGCAAATAACCACTACACTTAGTATCTGTGGTGCATTTTCACTGAGAAATTTCGCTTCGGCAGTGTCAGATAAGCATCTCTCCGGGATTAACATTCAACATAACGAAACATATGATAATTGTGGACTTGTTCTCGATATTCCTTGACAGACAAACATATCTTGAGAAATGCTTTAATAGTATGTTTTATTGAGTACAACATTTGAACAATTCAAAGGAGATCTACACAGTAAGAAAATATTTCAAATATAAGTCTAAAAATCTGAACGAATAAAATAGTCTTAAAACTCGCCAAATAAAAAACAGAAAAATGCTATGAAAATGAAAACCTAGGTATTTTATCAATATTAGCATCAACCAGCACCAAAGCTCTTTCAGTTTCAAATAGTAAAATAAAATTATTTGCATAATCTTTGTTTTATGTCTGACTCAGCAGTCAAAAAAATTATGGTTTTTTAAACTTTTCAGCTACTGTTTGAAAATCAGGTGGATTTCCAGTGTGTTTATAAACCTGTGTAATGTTCTTGGGAGGAGGACCTTGAAAAATCTTTTCTGCTATAGCATTCTGTGGTTTGCCTTGATAGTCAGCAGATACTTTGTATTGACCAGCGACGCCGCGTTGTAATGCTTCGTTTGCTTTCATATGGTTAGGTAGTGGCTGTCCAGTCATACCTTGTAAACTTTTGTCTGTCATTTTGTTCTGTAGATACAGATGAACTGCTGCTTGACACGAATAACCTGGCAATAAAAAAAACATGCAATTTAGTATTATGATAATCAAATGGCACTCGGGTTATCGTTTTAAAATTATTTTCATGGCAAATCAATAATTTTGTTTTCAAAGAAATACACACACGCAGGCAAGCACGCATGCACGCACGCATACAAACAAAACCACCAACAACAACATCACAAACAACCCAAAAAAGATAAATAAACGCAAAGTTCCCTAGAACTGCGTCTTTTTGTTCAAAACTTAAATCCTAGGAAAAGAATCTTAGTCCAGTTGATAGTAGCATTTAAGATAAACGATTTGTTTAGAAACCTTGCTATTTATCGAAGCAAACAACAAGCATTGTCTTAATATCAAAGAACAAGAGCAACGCCGGGTGAGGGCCACGCTCGACTGAGCATGTCTTGTCAAAAATGTTTTTTGGAAAAGGACGAAGATAATCCATTTATAAATTACCGAGTTATAGTCAATTTCAGCAAAAATCAGTCGGAATTCAATAATAAATTAAAACCTTCTAGGTCAATGTTAAATACAAAGTCAATTTGAGTTTGATATACATAAAGATCTTATCCTAAAGAATGTTCTGGTATAATATGAAGTAAATTCATTCAATAAAAACAAAGTGAAAAACAATAAACACTTAAATTATTTTGGGCGTTTAAAAATCTTAATTAAAGCTTTTGATGCAGAACCGAGTATGCAAATCAAAATAAAAAGTTAATCAATATATTTATCAAACTGTGTACATGAATTCATTTCTCAAAAATAACTTCAAAACAACCAGTTCTATTAAAAAATAACATCGCGCCTCACCTTGTAATTTTACACGTCGATTTAAATCCTTCAATGATAAATATGGATTTATATAGTAGTCAAGGAACACACAATTTAACCCTCAAACAGCGTTTCTTAATGTAAAACTACTAGATCTACCTCTTTGGAGTTGTTAATTGCCTGTGTCCGCAGGATCTGCATGAAGTGGTTTATATATTGTCTAGGTTATTGTCATGTGATTATGATTTTCGAAAAATTAACTAAAAAAAGATTTATTACATCATTTATCTATATATATTTAGAATAGTTTCCCACGGTTAACTTTTTAATATTCCCTGAAATATCTAAAAAAGCGGTTTTATGCAATTATGATCCTTTGTGTTAATTTGATTAAAAAGAATCTTGAATGGTTTTGATGTTCGATCACGTTATTCACCGAGTATATCCAGTAACGCCGGAATGTGAAAATGATTCGTGCAATAAGTAACGCAGAATTGTGCAATAAATGGCGGATACCTGACAGGATTTCCAACATTTTTGTTTTGTTTTTTGTTTTGTTTTGGGTTTTACGTCACATCGACAGAGTATAGGTCATATCGCGACGTTCAAGCTTTACTGGTGGAGGAAGACCTCAGGTGCCCTTCCGTGCATTATTTCAGGCACGAACGGGCACTTGAGTAGAACCACCGACATTCCATAAGCTAGCTGGATAGCTTCCTCACATGAAAGAATCCAAAGTCCCTGTCGGGATTCGAACCCACAGCGGTGAGGGGCAAGTGGTTTACACGGTGTTATTGCATAAGACATTGTATATCAGAAAACACCATATTTGACAGCCGCGATTAAGTAGTAAGTAAGCTTGATAAGTAGTTGATTTGAATTATCGGAGAAAATAATCATTCGTAAATAAGCATACAAAATTACTACATTATTTTGTTCATCACCTTAATGAAAAATAAACCAGCTTAACATAGTTCTATGTTGTATATATCTGTTTTTCAATTGCAATATTTATATACTGAAAGGCATTATATACGCATTTTACACTAAGAATTGCGCCATAAATCAGAACAAGGTTGTTCAAATTTACTGTAATATGAAACTTAGCTTACAATTAGTATTTTCCAGAAATAGAAGAATGAAAGTCACATTACATAATTATTATGTTTTTTCAAAGAAATAAAAATAAAGGTAATTTTCGGATAATAAACAAGTCTTAAACCCTGAGCACGTGTATTTAGGAAAGTTCTTCCGTGTTGTAAAAATCACACTTCTACGTCTTATGCTAGTTTAGAATAATATTTAAAGCATAACGATATAAAAATGGGGAGGAATACTTAACAAGACATTTTCAGACTGTCGAAAATCATCTTAGTAGACATTGTAGCCATTTTTGTTATACATAAGTTTTGATATAAAGTATAGTTTGAAAATTGCAATTATTAGTTAAAATTTAGTATTGCAAAGTTGTACCGATAAAATGGAATGTCTTGTAAGATAAGACCTATTTTGCTTCTAATTAGTAATATTTTTATTTCTAACAAATGCACGGGTAATAACCCCACATGGATCACAAAATTGAGAATCGGAAGAAAATATATGAGAAATTCCGCTGATCCAGAAGTGCACCACGTGAACGATAACATAGATTACGCAGGGTAAGTGTTTGAACTTTTAATTTTTAAAAACATTTATGCAAACTTCAAAGTTTTTTTTAGACAAGCCGGTGCTAGAGGGCGTGAGAGATGTTGCACTTATTCCTTATCCCTCATGTACAGACTCTATCAAACCGAGTCTGCAATTTTCATGATTAATACTTCCGAGGGATCACTTTGTTTCCAGATTTTTATATAGGCCATGCAATTTTGTACAGTAAATTGAATAATAATGTTTTTTCATTTAGTAAAATTAATATACTATTTTTCATATTGATTAATTGTACTATAACTTTATAAACAAACAATGGCATAAACATAATAAATGATAACTCGAGTAATCAAACATCCTTTAATAGTAATTAAAACAAATATGAAAGAGTGGAAGTTGTACTCTCTATATAAGCAGGTTTGTTTAAAATTTAAAGTGTTACATCTAGATGTAACTTCGATTAACTATGTCAAAGGTGCTCAGTGTATATTTGTATTCGTAAGCGTCGACTTATGATAACAGTACTTTACAGCCGTTTATTTGGTTTGCACCGTTATGAAATTTAGCTATGAAAGAACTTTTGAACTAACCAATAATACTTTGCACCTTGTTTTTCCGCTAAGTTAAGCTATTTCCCACTTCACATTACAATTACTTTGATGGGTGATAGTTGTTCATCACCTGAAATGATTTAATATGTTATATGATTAGGGTGGCTCGATCGCTTCATTATACACCTCCTCTATTGTTTGTGACAGGTCTATATTTTTCGGATAGACCTGTTTAAACAAAAGAAAGTCCGTTATGAGGTCTATCTTTTGCACGTGCACAGGTCTTTTCTAGTGAGACAGACCCAGTCATGAAAATCACGTGAAAAAATAGACCTACCTATGCGCAGACAAAGAAAACATGAAATGCAATCGAACGTTAAAAATGAAAATGAAATGTAAATGATTGTCATAATATTCCTGACTTAAATAATCTGGATACATTTTTCAACAAGATAATGTTTATTGAGTACACTTAGCAATTATTTCAATATCCCTTTATTAAATCTTTGAATAAAAATAATGTATAGCACATCAAAGTTAGGACATGCATATACAAGTACTTAAAGTGGCTTGGTCTACAATGGGCACATTTAAAATATCAATAAAAACAATAAAAATGTATTGTTCGGATATTATTAAAAAATCTTGAAAAAGAAATGTTAATAAAATTGTAAGTGATTTAGTATAAAAATTCATATGATGAACGATCATATTTTATTCTAAAACACTTTATAATCTGCTATTTTTAATATCGTTTCGGATCATGTCTTTTGTGGTCTGCTGGATATTTGCCCCTCAAACAGTTGCCCCCTCGGGCGTTTTCCCCCTTTTTGCAGTGGCTGACATTTTGCCCCTCATATCTTTGGAATTGGCGGTCAATTGCCTCCCCCTGTTTTAAAAATGTTAAAATATTTAATTGTTGAGTTGTTTATTACCTAAATTCATCGCCTACTGTCAAATAGTCGAAATTCCATTGTGCTTAAATACACAAAAACTTCACACGTAAATTTATGAAAACAAAAAACATCCATAAATAAATATATCGTTTGCATTGTTAAATAACATAAATAAAATTTATACACGAGATAAGTGACAAGTCGTCACGGACAAACGTCCGTGGCAACTGTCCGGAAGGCAAATGTCCTACAATTTGTTATGTCTGATACGAAATACTATCAACATAATTATTCATTCTTTAACATACATTACACACCAATTTTATTTATTTTTGACAAATTGCACATTTAGCTTTTAAGATTATTATCTTAAAGAGAAAAGCAGAGTTAAATGCAAAATATATGTAGAGTATGGTTTGGATTGAATATACGACCAACTCTGACTAGGAGTTCAATATCTATTTTGATGATGTGTAAATGAAACCTATAAAATGAAAAAAAAAATTATAAATACATGAAATACAAAACACAAATTTCAATTATTTTCAATTATTTAATTCATACATTTCATTACATTTATTTTAAGTAATTTAAAGTAAAACATATCTTACCAGGTGCAACTGGCTGACCTCTGTTATAGAACAGAACAGAACAGAAATTTTATTTGAATCTAACTTGAACATTTACAGTTCATCGTTACATACAACAAATTTTACATGCACATAGTAATAATGTAAATATCATATTATAATCATGCAAACAACTTTACATATTTCATCAGATCATTACAAAGAATTTAATTCATTTGTTCTTAATTTAAAAGCATTTCTGCACAACAGAGCCAATTTGTTTAAGACCTTTACATTTGTAGAATTCAACAACTGTGTGAGTTTGAGCATACTCGGGTGTCTATGATAATACCTAGGAATATACTGATTTCTAAGTAAAGCATACATTGGACATATTAAAATAAAATGGTATTCGTCTTCAATATCATTACATTGGCACAGTGTACATTTTCTATCGTTTCTATCTATATTTCTATGTCTACCAGTTTCAATATGAAGGTCATGTGAAGATAAACGTATTTTAGCTAAAACATTTCTTAAACTACGGCATTTCATTTTATTTATATGTTAGGACATTTCAAAATCCGGCTTTAATTCTTTAAATAAAAACAAAGATGACTTTGAACAAATATCTTGTCTCCAATTATTTATATACATGTCAATAATTCTAGTACGAAAAATAGGAACAAACATATTAATATTTACCGAAGAAGGATACATCCATACTTCATGAAAACCAGTGTTTTGTAGTAAATCTCGGACTTTAGATGCCCAGTTCACAAAGTTACAATTTTCAGCTTCATATCTTAAAATGTTCATTGTGCTTGATAAAATACAGTTATAATCCTTTTCAACATACAACTTTAGGAAATATTTAACAATTCTAACTTGTCTAACTACATATAATGGGTATCTACCCAATTCACCATATAATGCAGAATTAGCAATAGACATTTTAGCATTGAGTATCCATTTTATGAATTTTCTATGTATTCGTTCTATATTTTCCGCTTTTTCAAACCCCCATACTTCACAAGAATAATTCAATATAGATGCAACATATGAATCAAATAAATTTAACATAATATTTACAGGAACTTCAATGCTTTTTGTAATACTAAATAATGAGCCCATAGCTTTAAGAGCTTTATCAGCTAATGTTTTTCTTGCTGTCTTAAAAGATCCACCACTAGATAACACAATACCTAAGTAATTAAAACTTGAAACAAATTCCAATTCTTCCCCGTCGTAATAAATATGTTCATTTACATTGGTCATTCCACCTTTTTTAAATACAAGAACCTTCGTTTTATTAACATTTACTTTTAATTGCCATTTATTACAATAGTCTTTTAAATTATGTAATGAAGTTTGAAGCCCATGCGCCGTCTCTGAGAAAATGACTGCATCGTCGGCAAAAAGTAGTAGGTATATAGAAAGTTGATCTAAAGTCAAACAAGAACTATCATCTTTTTGTAAAAACAACTCAATATCATTTACGAATAATGAGAAAAGTATCGGAGAAATTATCTCCCCTTGCAATAATCCAACATCACATTTGAAAAAATCAGACAAGGAATCCATATGACGTACACATAATTTTACATCTTCATACAGAGACCTTATTACACAAAATAAGCGTCCATTCACACCATATTTTATCAATTTTACCCATAAGGCATTTCTGTAAATAGAATCAAAGCATTTCATAAGATCAACAAAACAGCAATATAATTTCTTTTTTTGTTTTAATTGTCGTTCTATAAAAGCATGAAGGAGAAATATAGCGTCTACTGTGCTGTAGTTACATTTAAAACCAAATTGTGCATCAGTGAGTATATCATTAGTATCAGCCCACTTTTTTAAACGCTCATTAATAACAACAGTAAATAATTTTGCAAAACAGCTGATTAGTGTTATACCTCTATAATTAGTAGGTTCACTAGAATCTCCTTTTTTAAAAACAGGTATAACAACTCCCTGTGACCATGATTTGGGAAAACAACCCGTATCTAAAATATGATTGAACAATATTTCTAAAGGTTTGTCTAAAATATCTATACCTTCTTTAAAATACTCGTACATAATGTGATCAAAAGAGCTAGCTTTATTTGTTCCTAGTTTTCTTATAGCTTTTCTTATTTCATCAGTCGTAAACGGTACATCAAGCTCCTCAAAAGTAGAGTTTAAGTTTGCATTTTCATCAAAAATATGTAAAAAATCTTCAATTTCTTCATCTTCTGCAACAGAAAATTCAGATGCTAAATTCTTAAAATGATTATAGAAATCATCCAAATCTATGTTTTCATCAGACAGGGTTGATTTACTTTGACGAAACATCCTCCAAAATTCTTTTGGCTTTTTGTTTCTCAATTCATTCATTTTTGCAGCTTGTTTTCTGTCAAAGTTCCGTTTTACTTTTCTACAATGATATTTATAATCCTTCTTTTTTAAATATAATAATTCTCTATTTTCTACCGATTTGTTAGCATTAAATTTTAATACAGCATTTTTATATACAGTATACTTTTGTTTACAGCTTTCATCGAACCATTTATTCGTTTTATTATCGCTGAAACATGCGTTAACAGTTGCCTTACAACAAGTTTCAAAATACGCATTACATGTTTCAGATAAATATGTTGTAAAAATATTAACCATTTCGTCTGGATCCTGGTTATTTTGCTTGGATTCATTTAAGTTTTGACAAAGCATTTCTATGTCTCGCGAAATATCGTTTACAAATTCCGTCCTATATTCGGGATTCCATTTATAAATCGTGCGTTTACGCGGATTCGTTACGACTGGCACGGTCCTTACTTTCAACGAGAATGAAATCGGGGCGTGATTTGAGTGGGCGGTCAAATCATGAACACGAAACTCTGAAATATTTTCAAAATTGCATGCTTTTGTTAACAAATAATCCACTACACTATTCCCGTTATACGTATAACAAGTAGGTTTCCCGAGATTCGCGTCGCTATCCAACCGTCCGTTTACAATGCGTATATCGGTAGATTTACAAAGATCAAGTAATTGTTCCCCAAACCGGTTTGTACTACGATCAGTCGTCGTCCGCGGAATAAATGAATCCATAGCTAAATAATCGTGATCATATAACAATATATCATAATTTATACAGTCAGATTTTGAACCAATTCTCGAGTTTGTATCTCCGCACACATATACCATTCCTTTATTTTCGTAACAATTTATATCATTCTCTAATTTTCTAAATACATCAGTATCATACAGATTATGAACAGGTGAACTTTCTGGGGCAATATATATGGAACATAGATAGATATCTTCTGGTACCTGGAAAAAATATTTATCCAGTTTCAACCACATAATACAATCAATGTCATTTCTGACTAGTTTAACACCTTTTATGATCGAGCTTTTAACATACGCTAAAATGCCCCCA